AACTGTTGTTTTGTACATTTTCAGTATTAATTAGGATGTCTAAACAGGCAAGCCAACACATGTGGAGACCTCAGCCTGTGTATACATTACAGCAGGTCAGCCAGTCACTAGGAGTCTTCCCACCGTATTCTCAGGAACCACAGTAAAGCTGAGCACGACCACCCACCTGCATAGCTGTGTCCTCCTTTATACTCCTACGTTTAATACAATGCACCCAGGAGGGAAGCGAGAGGTGTCCAATATACTATAACATACCTAAATGTACATGTTCTCTGTAGTTTGCACAAGAAGCACCCACTGACCTTGTGGCCTTGGTCCTCTAAAAGACTGCTTTTAACAGGGCTGCCTGGAGAGACCATGGTCATTCTTACTGAAAAAACAGAGCTCAGATGGACTCACCGCCCTCCATTTTGGCTCTTGTCATTGTTGTAAAACTCCAGAAACCAATGTCAGTTTTAAACAGGCTGCATCCACAAAGCAAAATGCAAATACAATGCTTTAACTCGAGTGTTTGGGCCATAGTAAGCTCACCTTTTTTTTACCTCTTTGCACAAATAACCCACAAATGTGACCAGTTAACTGGAGGCTATAAAAGACGTCACGTGCTGCTAACACCTGCTAGGAGGCCCCCAATTGCTGTCCGGGCAGACGGCGTAGGCACTGGTGGTGGTGGATCACTCAAAGATGAAACGATTCTAACTCAGCCTGCTATTAAAAGATCCCTCAACAGGAATAAAAGAAAGGGCAAGGAGTTTAAAAAAAAAAAAAAAAAAGAAATGGACAGGACGAGAAAGCAAAGAACTTCCTATTACTTCATCTCATCATTGTAGTTTTATGTTTACTGGTTGTTTCCTCCTTTTAACAAGAGTCCCTCCTTTTATATTTTGAGGTTGTCTGTGTCTAGACCCTGCAGTTAAAGAGCCGGCAGGCCGGGGGCATACATACAGTATTCCCTCTCATAAAGACAGGGGACTTTCCTGTGAGATGCGGCTTTTGTCTTTTTACAGTGTCATGGCTCTGCACCTATTACTTATTACATATTTTTGTGTCTACACAGAGAGCCAGCACTCACACGTTAACTATCCTGTGGTGAGATTACTCTGAAGGGGCAATTTTTTATGCGACGGGGGGAAAAAAGTGACAGATTTACATCTGCTCTCAGCTCCCTGTCATTGCTTTTTCATCTTTTTGTCCAGTGCACACAGAGTTGAATATTAGCTAAATGAAAGCAGATTTCATCTTTGAGTAATCAGTCTTTCAGATGGACGCTAAAGTGAGTGGGTGTGTGTTGATTATGGTGCCTGTCATATTCAGTTTACTGTGTTCGTTTCGTGGACATGACCCTTCAGCAGAGCTGCCACTGAGGGGAGCAGGAGAGGGATGTGCTGACGGAAGGAGCGGCTTGATTAAGAAAAGTGAAGAAATCTGAGGAGGACCGCTGAGATAGAGATGATTTGATTTGATTTATATCTACAACAAAATCAAACAAAAGAACCAACGGCATTGTGCATGAGGTGCAAGAGGCTGAACGAGCATGACCTCATTTGAAACAACACAAAAACAAATAGTTACGTGCCAGTGGGAAAGCACAATTAGTGCCACAAACAGTACTTTTCCAGCCTTTGTGTGAATCTCTCTGGTTTGCGTCTGTTTATTCTGGACCCTCCGTCCTGATGGACAGACAGGGTACTGATTTTGGCCTGCATATTCCTCCAGGACTATAATTTATTTCATCCTGTTTAGTGTAGAGAACTGCGTTGGTTTATGCCGCTGCCGCTGGCTGAGTGATTAAAAATGGCGTTCTGTCTCCTGCACGGCTGTTCTTTATGTTTCTCCCAGACACACCACTTAGATTTTTACTGTTGTAGCAGAAATGATAGGAGTGGCTGTCTGCCCCCAAGGTCAGGCCTGAGTTAGATGAGAATGGAAAAAGAAAAATGGTGACTGTTTTAACAGCAATATAATTCCTATAGGTTTGATTTGTGTCACTTTTTGTGTTCTGACCTTTGCATTGTTATATTCTTGTTCCTTTATGCGTTCTTTGAGTGTTTTCTTGTTATTACTACCTTTGAAACGTGTCTCAATCTCAGTGGGACAAAGCTGGTCAGATTAGATAATATGTAAAATAATAAAATGTGCCTCTTGGTGCCTCCTCCCTTCCCTCCGTCTTCAGACTTCCTCCCTCGATCCTCCCCGCTGGTGTGTAATAATATATTTAACTTTACTGGACGTCCCCGGGAGGAATTCCTGGTGTTTGGTGAACCAGAGTCTCTCCAGTGTGATTTCAGACACAGTGGACAGCGGTCATTAATCACTTCGCTGTGACGGAGCCTGTGTGTGTTCATGTGTTTGCGTGTGTGTGTTGGAAGTGGTTCTGTTTTCCTTCTCATGCACGTTCATCAGCAAACAAATCCTATCTGTTCGTGGGGAAGTGATATTGGAAATGCCAGCAGTGCGAGGGGAATGCCTGTTTTGTTGTTCTTCCTCTCTCTGTTAGTTATTTCCTATTGCTGAGATATGACCTCTGGCATGTCGTTTTCTCCCCGGGGCACTGGCTGTTTGTCCGGGATTTGGAGGACCAAAAAGTGGCTGGTTGTGTGGCCCTTAGGCTACAGCGTCTCGCTTTTTACTTGCCAGCCTTCGTTGCAACATCCTTTTAGAATTCATTCTAGGGCTAGAATGATCTCCATCTGTTAAGGGTTTACTTCTCTTCTTGGAGTGAGGAGGTGTTTACTGTGAGCAGTAAGACAGAATGTTGTCTAAGATCTCCAGATAGGCTCAGATATGAGTAGGAGCAATCAAACTTGCAAGAAATGAAATAAAGCCAAATAAAAGAAATAAAGTTGTTGGAAGTCCTTGGGCAAGTTCATGTTGCCAAGGCCAAAGGTTCACAGCTGAAATGCTGAAATGTGGATGTCATCAAAGATTTGACCTTCAAGTAAAATCCAGCCTCCAAAATGCCTCAAGTTGTGAGCATGATCTTGGTTGACACTGGACTCCAGTGAAGTGCCATCGCTGAGAAAGTGTATTTTCTCCAGTATTCTCGCATTGCTTCACACACCTATAGGTCATAGTGTGAGGGGGGTGAAGAGCCCCATATCTGCCCTAACACAGGATTAACAAAAGAGACCGTGAACTTGTCCCTGGGGGGCACACACACACATAGAGGAAGCCGGATGCACATACTCACCAGTACACACACATGTGCAAAGCATTCAACACATTTCTGCACATACTCACCAGTACACACACATCAGAAGGCATCTGCTGCTTTTGGCAATGCAGCGCCCTATAAGAACAGAGGTATGTATCTTATGAGGTTTGTCACGCTTAGGATATAGCTTTTTAAAAATCTTAAAGACGTCACATTTGTGTTACATTGAATATGTTTTGAGACTCCCATAGAGTCACTGGGTTTTTGGTTTGATGCCTAAAAAGTCTGTGGTTAACACAACCAGGTTTGTGTTACAACATAAAATAGTCAGTAGCTGCCCCACTTGTGAACACTTATCTACTCACTAGTCCACTTTTACAGCCTTGTTGGAAGTTGGAAGTTTAGTTGTGGTGTCGTAGAAGTCGTGCCTGACATTAGATTTTTTACCTCTGGGGATCACATTTACACTTCCAAAATCCTAAAAGTAGTATTTATTAGTGGCTTTTTTCAGAAGGAACCGGGGCGATGCAAACTTCCACGTTGTTCTACAAACAAATGTCATCCCTGCAGCACAGTTTTCAGTTTTCCTATTAATAACAATAATATATTTATGATAAAATAGGCAATCAAAATATCCTGAAAAAACAGACCTAACTCATCAAAGACGAGTAGTTGACTCATTTAATTTAGCTGTTGCATTATATTATCATTTGTGGGTTACTATATAAGCAGCAACTGTTTATTTGATAACTGCATGGGTGCTGCATTTATGTGTATGTATGCCTATGATAGTACTTTGTCTTTACAAAGACCAGATGTCAGTTTGATGTGCTGAAATGAGCAGTGAAAAGCCTCTAAAATGAAGATGTTTTCCCTCCGACTTCTGAAAGAGCCCTATTTCTGCGTTTGGGTGAGAGGTTAAGAGCAGGATTAGGTTAAGGTTACTCTGAAGGTCAAGGTGAAGCATTTAGAGATGGAATTTAGATAGGGCTAAGATATGAATGTAGATAACAATGGTCATCACAAGTGTGTTGATGCATATATGTGTGTGTTTTGTCAGACCTAAGCCCAGCTCAGTGCTTGGAGCTGGTTTCCCAAAATACTGTATCCTCCTCAGTGGGAGATCTGCAGACATAAGCACTTAATGACAGGAAGGGATGAGTGCAGCCTCAAGTCCCTGGTAGCAAAGAGAATTTTCCCACTCTGGATTTCGGCATCTTCCCCTCTCTGCCCCAACACACAGGGATATCTTCCCCATCCTTCACAAGCACTCCCTGTGCAGTCCTAACTAAGACATCTGACTGGCACCGATGGGACTTTCCCACCATGCTGAAAGGAAAAGTTCTCTTTGTTCCTGCTCAGAGGCGGATGGACAGGCTGTTTGGACGCCTCTGCTTCTGTTTGATATTTCAGTTTAACACGGCACGGAGGTGGCATCTGTGGGACTGGATCACAGACCCAGACACAGCTTCTTCAGTCATCTGCAAGTGTTACAGGCTGTAAACGCCGCTGGCTACATGAACGGCCACTTTCAATGCTGTGAAAAATTCATTGCCTGTTGCCAAGCCAAAGAACAACAGTTGTCTGAATCCCCCAAAGTAAAATGAATAAGAAATGAATCCCCTTTTAATCCCATTATCCTTCATTGACATTTTCACATGTATAGACCTATATTGTGATATGCAGTATGGATATAATGCTGTTGTAAGCTTTGCACTGCCGAGCTAGCTTGCGAGTGTGTTTTAACACCTTTTTTTTTCTAGACTTTGTTGGTAATGGATCAAGTGGAACAAATCGAGTGTTCCATGTGTAACACTATGTTTGTCTTTTTCTCCTGTCTTCACAGATTCCCTTTGTATCCCAGAGGAGAGCGGTTTCATTTTGAATATGGTGTCTACTTGCTCAACAAGAACATTGCCCAGGTAATATATAAACACACTTTGCTACCAGTGTTTGAATGGAAACTTTAAGCACTTTAAGCATTGACAAATTTAAGGACCTTAAAATTTTGAGAGAAGATGTATTAATTACATTAATAATTCTTGAGTTCTTGAAACCAATACGTTGCCTGAGGAAGGCGCTGTGGTGGTGAAACAACAGGTAATGGTATAAAATTAATACTATATATTCTAAAGCGCTTCTCCTGCTTCTTGCATTGAGTTGCTGCCTATATTATTTAGTGTATAGGAACCTGTTGTGCACGCAGAAGTACACATGCATTCACTAACCTCTGGAGTCACTTTAAAGGCTGGCAATAATGAAAAGGCTGTTGTATTAATTTAATTCAAAAATAATCAAATCATTTTCAAACATTAATAAAGTAAGTAAAAAAAACTAATTTTCAGCCACAGATTTTGTGTGCTTGGGAGTATTTTTAGAGCAGCAGGACAGTGTGGGATTGACTCATTGTACTATTACAGTGCTCATCCTAATGAAGGAACTGATGTGTTTTTAGCCATGGTAGCGGCCAATTGTTGGTATGGATGTCGGTCCGTCAGTTGGTCAACTTTTAGTGGTGCATTGCCATGAAATTTTGTACAGACACTCATAGACTCAGTCTCTAAACACTTTCTTTAGGCTTTTATTGCTAAAACTGGGTGGAAACAATTACAGAGTTTAAAAAAACCTGCATTGTATAACCAATCCAAAGTCTTAAGATGACGTGGAAGTCGTGTGTTTGTAAACACTGGCATATCATATAACGTGCATTTAGTAATTGAAGACAATCAGTAGATGCTGAGATCTCCGATGACTTTAATGATCCCCTGATTTTTCACTTGTTGCCATACTTTGGTTTATGATCAAATACCTGCAACATGAGTGACATTCCCATCAACCTCAGCTGCAATTTGTGTTTAGTGCTAGTAAGCAAATGTTAGCATGCCATCACGCTAAACTGAGATGGTACACATAGTGAAAATGATACATGCTTAACATGATGTGTTGGTATTGTCATTGTGAGCATGTTAGCATGCTGACATTAGCATGTAGCTGAAAGCACCACTGTGTTTAATACAGCTTCTCAGAGTTGCTAGCATGGCAGTAGACTCTACAGTGCTGTTAATAGTTTTTGGACAACAATGGAGCTCTGTGCCACAGAGGAATAAGATATATCAGACTTCACAGGCAACACTTTAAAGTGCTTTTGAAGGAGCAGAAAGTCACAACATGAAATGTATCTGTGTGTGCCGGTGACATTTGGCACACAAGTTGAATTAATGCTCTAAATTGGTTTCTCATTCTCTTATCCTCCATCTCCTCTAAATACAAACACCTCAGGGGAGGGTTGAACTCTTGACCTGTCCGTGCTTATTAAAGTACACCTAATGTGTTGACCTGGGTTACTCCCTCCATTCATCCCTCAGACATTTAGCACTGACTTTTAACAATTTGCATTCCATTCCCTGTTTTCTTCTTTGTCCAGGCGGGAATGAAGGGCCTCATCACTGAATAATAGGGGGCAATTAGCACTAGCAGGTGGCTGACTTCAAACCACTGCACTTTGGGAGGTTTTAGTTCTAATATAAGACCACAAGCTGCTAGCCAATATCCAAGTCTGCCATCTTCCCACCACAGTCCAAGAGTAAATAAAATAGGATACAAAAAGAGAAGCCAGATACAAAACTAAAAATAAGGGAAAAATAAGGGCTGTCTGAAAGCACCAATGGGAGCAACAAAGCAGCCTGTTGTGTTTTGAAAAAAGTCTCACTGGATATAGTGTGTTGTGTCTAAATAATGATGTGTGCATGTAATTAATCCAAAATGGAAGACATTATTGAAGGTTGGGACTGTAAGGTACATTGTTAGCTCAGTGCACATAGTTAAGTAATGCTAAACTGTAATCTGATACTTATACCATCAAATTAGCTTTGTCAATCTTATTTATACTGCCAGATATCACAAAAGGGGCTTTAACAGCTTGTGTAAACAATCAGACACATCAAGCGATGACAACATTATAGATAGACTGTAAAAATATATGAACATATATCACTGCTTGTCAATATGCACTCTCAAGTCAGAAGTGAAATATTAGCTGGACTGAACTACTGAGGTCGGTATAATTTGATAGATTTTACTGCACTATAATAACTGTCAAAAATGAACACACACACATGTTTCTCCTCCTCATCCTCACATATGGACTCAGGCAAGCATTTTCAGCATGGTGACGTTTTTGACTTTGAACAGACACCTTTAAAACCTGGCAAATATTTTGCATTGAAGCTCCAAGAAAAGATTTTTACTCCCACAAGATGAACATATTGTACTTTTGCATACATACTATAGTGTGTGAGGCAGGCAATCTCTAGATTAACATAGCTTGTTAAACCATTGAAAGTAGCTTATTGTGATAGTATAATATGTAAGTAAAATATAGGATGTTGTGGCTAAACCTAAATATGCACAGCATACTGTGTTTTTAAACCAGAGAGAGAGACAGATTTAAATGTGCATGACACTATATAATCTTTTTCACATGTAGAACATTTGGCGTGCAGTCATCTCAATGGATATCCCTACCTTTCAACTCACATAACCCCCACACATAAGATTTTCGTGAATCTTAACCATGTGGTGCCATCACATGTAGCACTGCATGATCACTCTTGCCGAACGTTTAATCAAGCCCCTTTCACACATGCATTGCAACTCTGGATTTATTCAGACATTACCCAGAGGAGCTGTATGTGAAAACAAAAATATCCAAATCAGTTTCACCAGACATTACTGTCAGCCAAAAGTTGTAGTCCAAATTCTGTGTGAGCTTAAGTGTTTATTGAGAAGCTCATCTGGAGAATTCACAGCAAGAACATGTGTGTTTTCTGGATGTTGCACGGTGTGTAGCTGCGTTTATCATTTTCATTTTCATATAGACTATCTGCCAATCAAAACCAGCCTACGCGTCTCATTTTACCTCAAGTTTTAATGCCTTTTTTGTCATCAGTAATGTAAAAATATCAGATTTCCACACAGGCAGAGAAAGTAAAAGTGTGCGTCCTGCTCATAGTTCAGTTAAAATCCCAGCGCACCACGAAGCATCTTTTTGCAGTCATGCTCCACATATATCGCCCCCTTCCATTACAGTTAGTTTTGTGGTTCGTGGTCATTTTGAAACTCTGTTTGTATTGATATCAACACAAAAACAGGTCAGGTTTTTTTGTTTTCTCCTCCTGCTCCTGCGCACTCTACCCAGGCGACACCCCTCGTCTAAACCAAACATAGTATTCCAACATATGAGAACACGTCTTGGTATGAACAATCTCCTGTTGGATGGCAAATTTGGAAAATCTCAGGACATTGTTCAGAGTTTATATGTAAAAAAACGACGTTAGACTATTGATACAGATGCAACCGCCTAGAATTGCCGGCTGGTCCGTGACAGGTCC